GGGAGTCAACATTTCCTAGAGAGATCTGGGAAAGTATTTTTCCCATGACCGTCACATTGCTATTACACACAGCACAGCCTGTGCTGTTAAATTCTGCTCTGGTTGAATATCAACCCGTCCCTTGATCTCCTCTTTGGCAGCTCTCTCTCTTCTCTGCCTCTAATAACACTTATATAATGGTGGTGGTGGTGAAAGTGTCCCTTTGACCATGAAGTGTGGTGGGGCTGAGTTGAGCACCGCGAACAGGCGGCTGTTGATACACTCCAAGCTTGGAAAGTTGTTCATGCCTTTGAGCAAAGTGCTCCACTTAGGCTCATTAGCAGTATAACCACACGTTGCCCTCCCAGTCGCCTCTGCCAGGGAAACTTCCTGCTCTTTCAAGGTCTTATCAATAGCTGCTGTGTCGAAAATGAACCCGGGGGATGGGAGCAGGGAGCATGAGTCACAGCTGGCTGTCTCCTCCTGACAGGACGGAGAAAAATGCCTTTTCTTCCATACTGTGGCCGCCTGTTGCAGCATTGCTCTGCTCTCGGCTTCAAGCTTGTCCCTACCAAGCTGGCTCATCTCAGCCAAAACCTCCTTGGCTTGCAGAAGCATCAGCCTTGTCTGGGTGGGAGTGTGGCTGCAGCTCGCCAGGCTCCAGATGCTGCTGCTTCTCCTGCTCTCCAGAAATTGTGGCAGAGGAAGACCTCAGTACGCCGGAGAGGGCTGCTCATGGCCCTCAAGTGAAGAGGTAGGATGGTGCTAGGGGGCTGCTCATGGAACACTTGCCCTGACTGTTGGGTGGCGCTCAGCCAGGCTGTGATCTGGAGGGATATGTTGGATCTAACTGGGAAATGTCGCAGTCCCTCTAGGCTGAGAGCAGCCCGTCCTGGGTGATCTGCTCCAGCGTTATGCAATTGCATCGGTTGAGTCTTGTCTGTAGGTCTGGAGACATATCTTTTCATGGGGCATCAGCTACTTCAGGCATTTGTCAGAGGTGTTCTCTGTATAAAAGCATAAGCAAATGGGTGATGGGAAGGGTTCCCCTCACTGTCTAATTCTTCCTGGGACACTGCTCCTCCAGTAAAACCTACCCATGTCCTGGGCAAGGAAGAGCAAAGAGGACTTTGCATCTGTTCATAGTGGGGCCCCCCATGCCTGTTTCTGGTGTCGTAGTCCCTAATCCATCTTCCACCCACATTCCTGCAGAGAAAGCACTCACATTTTGCTGCTCACAGAAACTAGCTCGTTTGGTAGCTCCTGGAGGGGATAACTATTTCTGCTATGTGGCCCCTGACATGTCTTCCCGCTGCCTGGATCTGTCTGATTGCTGTAGCCCATGGAGCTGTCCTCTTATCGCTGCTTGCACATTGCTGCGGGGGGGGTGTGTACATTGCTTTTTAATTTACTGACCTCTGCTCATGGGACCCAGCCCCTCAAAGAGACACCAAGCATTGGACCCCGAATGCCCAGTGAGTCTCTGGATGCACAGCAAGGTTTAATGTTGTTTTACTTGTACCTTGCCCAGCAGCTTAAGCCATTATATGTTATTAATAGGTTAATATTTAAAGAGAATTTTTCCCTGGATCAGCTGTATTTTCAGTGAAATGCATTCTAGCCCAGAAATCTTTTACAGCTGGACAAGAAATTTATAATCCCTTTTCATCTCTAGCATACTCTGTCCCTGCCAAGTCATTTCTTTAATTCCCAGAGTGGTTAATTGTGAATCTACCATGAGTTACTGAGTCTGTCCCAGTCCCTGCACTGCAGTGCTCGCCCAGAGAAAATATCCCGGTAAGGTGGTGGGATATTTCTTCCCTTTTATCAGTAGCATTATAAGCTGGTCAAAAGAGCGTGGTATGGTGAAAAACAAAGGGTTTGTGGTTGAGGAGGAGGCAGAATCGAGAGTGTTCAGGATGACACAATCTCCCTGTTCCTTGTCTTGGCAGGAGGAAGAGGATTCCTCATCCCTAATCGGAACCACACTCCACTCCCTCTGACCAGCACTTGTGAGTGGCTACAAGCCCAGGCTGGGATTCAGAGCAGCAGAAAGGATGGATCCCTTCCCAGTTCTCTGCACAGCACTGCTGCCTGGTATGAGGAAAAGGAGATCCTCGTCAGCTGGAGATGGTGCACGCGCAGGTCCCAACAACCAGCAGTGTATCTGACGCTGCCGGCTGAAGATAAGAGCCACGAGCTTCCCAGCCCATGGGCAGGACTTGGCAGCACAATGGAAAGTATTTTTGAACGCAAAGACACCCCTGTTAGTGCCACTGCCCGAAGCAGGGCAGTTCTGCTTAGCTTTAATGGGTCCCAGTTCACTCCAGTATAACAGTAGTTTGGCAAATTCTCCCAGACAGACCAGCAGTGGCACAGGTTTACTTGTGCAGAACTGCTGAGAGGTGCTGCAGTCTGCATGGAAACGGCTCATCTGCTCACAATCCGGAGCCGACAGTTATGATAAAGTCTCTTTTTAAGTTGCAGCTGCTTCACTTTAGGGGCAAACACACCCCCACAAACCACAGGGGAGCAGGGCACCGAGCGGCCAAACGAGTATGAACCCCTCTGAGGTTGGGTGCAGGCCTCTGCCCGCACCAGGGGTTATTTGTGGGTCTGTGGGCATTGCTAACAGCCGAGGGCAAGAGCCGTAAGCGTCCTGCAGCCCTGCGTGCTGCTGGGGTGAGTGTGCCCACGGGTAGAGCTGCAAGGGCATCTCGGCTCACCTCCTGTGTCCGTCCTACCAGCTCTGCCTTCCTCTTCCAGGATAACGAGTTGAGTTCTTTACAAGGAAGTCTCCATAACATTTGGTTTCAACTCTTTATTTCAACGTTGCACAAAGACTATTTCCAGTATTCTCCCTGAGTTAGCAGATGTTCTGATTTTTGGCGTGGAAATGTGTTACTCACAGTTAAAGAGAATTCATATGATTAATGATTAATGCTGCTATCTGAAAATTACCTCATTGAGCCAGCTTTTCGTTTGGCTTTGCGAGAAAATATGCATGAAAAATGAGGACAAATCCCCTTTCTGTATTACTGTATGTATGGAATCACGTTTCTTCTAAAACCAAGAAAGCAAATTTATTTGAAAAAAAACAAATAACTGACAAATTTCCACAGTGCCTGTACACACATGTTATCTGCAACATTTACCCAGGACCACAGCCCCCCTGAAACCCACCCTGCACCATTAGAGACCTGATGCTTGAGGAAAAACCCTTCTCATGGAGAACGTGCATTGTTATATACATTGAAAAATCTAGAGTTTCAGGTGTAGATTATCTGAGCTGATAACCATGCACCTCATATCAAATTTCTATAAGCAGTTCCTAGACAAAAGCTCCTTTCAGCCAACTCGGTGATAAGGTTTCTTGTGTGCATGTGCACGCACATAAGGGGACATTGTTTTAAGGTCTTTTTGTGGAAAAGATGCAATTATCAATGGAAGTTAAAATACTAATTATTTAAGCAACATTTTAAAGTATCTATATTTTCAGCCAGAATTTTAGTGTTCAGGATTTCTTGTTTGCGAACTTCTTCTGTAGTCACCACAATATGTAGATAAAATACACTTCAACAAAACTCAATCTAGTATTCCAGGAAGGCAATGTAGCAAACCTGATGCCAATCTTTTTAGAAAGCCTCCAAAACTGATCCAAGGAGCTGCTATCTGCAGAAATCTGACCTCTGTAGAACAAAATTCCCTTTGGGCTGTAGGAAACCAGAGCCAGATGAGACAGATGTATATGTACGGTGGTGAAGGGCCAACGCGTCTTTAGCAGAGCAAAGTTATACCCCTGAAGTCCAAGAGGAGTTTTCTGGTGGAGTCGGTGAGCGCAAGGATATCGGTGATCTGGAGAAGGACCAGAAGGGTGTCCTCCTGTTGAGTGGCTGGGTGCTATTCGGGTATAAAACATCAGATTTACTAATTGAAAGTGCCGCACAGGAGGCACAACAGTCTGGGCTCAAAATCAGGTATTTACCGTTTGAGAAAGAGAGCTCAGTCTCCAGCATCGATCAGAAAGGCATGTTAGGAATTGCCAGAAAAGAGTTTGAGATCAAAACAGAAAATACCTTTTATGCTGCTGAGTGTCTGGTTCATCCCTATCACTTGCGGTTCTGGCTGCCCAGTTCAAAGGCTTAAAAAACCAAAGGGAGTGAGGAGGGTGAAAAGGAGCATCTTGCATGAAAGGGGAACTAAACAGACCTGGGTTTGTGACTCTGGGCAAGACAGGACTGAGGGAGAAGCAGGTGACAGAGGTATAAGAAAATTGTGAATGCGATGGAGAAGGAAGGGGGTAGGGAGCAATTGTTCATTGCTTGCCGAAGTATAGAAATTGAGGGTATCTCCTGAAGAGGTAATACCGAAATTGAGGGTATCTCCTGAAAAGAGAATACAGAAGTTGGGGATGTCTCCTGAAAAGATAGTGCAGAAATTGGGGGTATCTCCTCGTAAGAGATAATAGAGAAATTGAAGGTATTTCCTGAAAAGAGAATACAGAAACTGGGGATATCTCCACAAAAGTTAATATGGAAATTGGGGGTATCTCTGGAAAAGAGAACCAGAAATTGGGGGTATCTCCTCATAAGAGATAATACAGAAATTGAAGGTATCTCCTGAAAAGCGAATGCAGAAATTGGGGGGATCTCCAGAAAGAACACAGAAATGGGGGCTGTGTCCTCCTAAGAGAATACAGAAATTAAGCCTATCTCCTGAAAAGATGAGGCACTGTCATTTCAATGAGTGACACACTTCCATCTTTAATTTAAGCGTTCATGGCATTCTTCCCCCCAGATCCCTGCTCCCCCCTCACAGAGAGCCCCCCATCCCCTGCTGCTGCCCCACGGGGCGATGCCGCTCCTCCCGCTGCCCCCTGCGTCCTGCCCCGACCCCAGCTGCCTGACCGCCACCATCAGCACCCGCGCTGTCCCCCCGTCACCCCCACCTGACCGGGACATCCCCCCCCAC